GTTTCGCTTCGCTAGGGACTCGGTCATACCTACGTAGCATTGCGCGATAAATGACACGGCGAGTGTCATGTGGCCAACAGTGAACTTAAAACATAATTGGCTATACGTAATGTCGTGATTGTTACAAACTTTAATACAAAATTAAAATATCCTTCTGTGCTTTTTACGGCCTTTCAAAATTCTCAGTAATACTACGTAACATAACATCACGCCTTTTATCCCCGAAGGGGTTGGCAGCGGTGCACATTATGGCACATAATGCCACTAAAATGTAACACCCACTTTTCACGATTTATGTTATGAGTCCCAGTAATACTTTGCCTGACCCGGTAATCGAACCCAAGACCTCTTGCCGGGCAGTCGCACTTGCGACCACTCGGCCAACGAGTCTCAGTAATATTACTGAGTATGAAATTATCCGCGGCGGTGGATGGCAAGCAGTTCCGCCCCTAAAGTGGGTGTGACATTGTTTGTCACGTCTACTTATCATAACGATTTAAAATGTATATCGTTGTTATATACCAAACAACTAATAACTAATAGATAACTTCACAAACTGACTTACCCCGTCAATCTGGCCTAGCACCATCTCGAACATGGTCCAGAAACCGCTCTTCCATTCGTCCATACTGTCGCGGCCGCGAATCCAAGAGTAACTGCGAAACACAATGCATTTTCAAGCAATGAGTTACTAATAGGCTAGTTACTAATACCCGTACTTTATAATAAAGTATTGTACGTTATTTAAGGTAATTACTACTACTACTATACTTTATAAGAATAATAAAGTACACGAAAATACTTTATTTTTGTAAACTTTATTTCTATTAAAGTCGTAAGTATTTTTCGGTAAACTTGTCGATTCGATATCAATATTTATCGATTTATGTTGAATCGATTTCGCCACTCGCCAGCACCAATTAGACAATTTCTAGTAAAGATGCAATTGTTCAGTAAAGATACTAATTTAATACAAACTGCAAAAAGCAATAAAAATACATTTTTAAATATAATATTAAATAAGAATAAATTGTACTTTATTTTTGTATTGTGTACTTTTTTTCTTACCTATAATCGTCAATGTACTTTAAATACAAAAAATGGTGGCAACCCTAGTTACTACGGTCCAGCGGCCTCAATACGAGTTTGTACCGAGTACGCGTTCGGCGCTGTGATTGGTTGGTTCATTGGCGCCGGCCAATCCTAGTGCCGAACGCGTACTCGTTTCGAATACTTTCAACGTAAATCAAACTTGTACTAAGGCCTCAGAGGACTGAATTCCACAATGTCTTGATAGCCGGTATGAAGTATCCGTCACAGTTATCGGGTTCTTATATAAGGTGGTCTAACAGGCGCTAAGAGTGTAAATTTACCATCAATATAAAAATTTTCTTGATTATTGATCAGTTGTTTGCTAGTGTCTGCACAAAGAACGAACAAGCAAACATTGAACATTGACTGTGGGTTCGATTCCCGCTCGGAACAACTCTTTGTGTGATTTACAGATTGCTGTTCCGGGTCTGAGTGTCATTGTGTATGTGAACTTGTATGTTTGTAAACGCACCCCCGACACTGGAGAAAATCCTAGTGCGAGGCAACGATTTCAAACAAAAAAAATAGGTTTTAAAATCTCAAGCTACACTAGCGCCATCTAGCGATCAGAAAAATTGTAATTTCATTATTTTGTAGGATTTGCAATAGACTTTTGTCCACTTAACTACATGATGCTATAATTGGGATGACGACAGAGTATGAAAATTGAAAATAATAATAATTAGTCCGTAAGTTAGGTAATGAAAAAATATTAGACACGTATTTTTTTATTTTGTCGTGTAATAAAACAATACTTAGATAAAACGAATCAAAGTTTAGAAGTAGGGGATAAATCGTCATTTCTACGTATAAAATGTACATAGAAGTGGCGTCACGCGACATTTCAAATCAATATATCGTTGAAAGTATTCGTTTTTGTAAGAAAATATAAAATACGTGTCTAATGATTTAAAATAATTTACTAAAATAAAAATTATACATTAAAATAAAAATTAGGCATCTACCCTATTACCTTTTTGCAAAAGAGTGATGTATTCCTGACTTCTGACACAGCTTATGAACCAAGTTCACAAGATCTAAATTAGGCAGCTGACCATTTAAACCTTCTATCTTCACTTCAACATATCCTGAAAAAACATAACATAATATCACGCCTTTTATCCCCGAAGAAGCAGGCAGAGGTGCACATTACGGCACTTAATGCTACTCTACAATGTGACACCCACGTTTTACTAGTTATTTATGTTATGAGTCCTATGTAATTGCCATATACCGGGCACAATTCCTGCTACTACGAAGAATTTTATTAAAACCCAGTAATAATTTACCCGACCCGGGAATCGAACCCGGGACCCCTTGCCCAGCAGTCGCACTTGCAACCACTCGGCCACCGAGGCAATCCCGAAATAAATGATACAGCACTAAGAGTCTGCCAGAGTTTCTAACGATCACTTAAGTGTACATATTAAATCCTATCGTAAGACATACTAAATTAACTAAAATCGCGAGTTACTCACGTGAATATACTGAGAAAAACTCTACTAGTTTCGAACCACAGAGGGGTTCTTCATGTGAGTAACCCGCGATTTTTAATTAATTATAATCCTTCGGTTTTAAACCACAATTAATTATTTAGGTCTTTGAATTAATTTCTATGTTTAATTCATGGATATTACTGCATAGAACCTTCTACTTACAATACGTAACAAAGAAAATCGTGTGCAGGGAGTAACTGGAAATAACTACATAATGTGTTGCATTATTTTATCATTATTGTATGTGACGCTGTGATAGTCTTTTCAAACGAGCACTAGCTCATACAATCCAGCAGGCATAATTATCTTACTATTACTTACTTATCTGTGGAGAGTTAAACTCCAAAAGAATAGCAGCCTGAATGGATCCAGACCTTCCTTTCAACGTCCCTGGATTCAAAGCCTTTTTATGATTCCGTCTCAATGGAATATTAGGGAAGAAACTCTCCATATTAAACGCAGGAGTACCAGGCTTCCAGAAACTACCAAGACTTGCGTGGAATGGCTCATTTTCATTGTGCAAACCGTGGTAAGCTTCCAGCCACGCCTGCATTCCTAGTTGATCATGTTGTGTGACTAGGAAAATTATGTCTTTGGCCCAATACTTTTGTGCTGAAAAAGAAACCAGTTAGTTAGTTTAAAAACTATAAATTAAACTTTTCGATAAAAAAGAATTAAGATCTGTGATTAAACTATGTTAAGTACTTACGCCTTGCAAACTTGGCAAAAGCTAACATAAGTGCTATGCCAGCTGCAGTGGTCTTCTGATGTGATCCCACATTCCTGTATGGAACAGACACCACTAGAGCCTCGAGCGATGAAGTACGTGGAGCTCGCAGTATTCCATACACATTGGTGCCTCTGAACACCTGATAAAAATATTAAAAGTGAACATTTTAATGTTTCCATGTCCATACCGCCCGTGTGATTTTTGCGACAGAGAACTTGCATGATATTTTCGTTCTATTAACACAGCTGCTCAATACTGGATCTATTTTTTTTAATATTTTTCTATTTCTAAGTGCGCGTTAGAGGCATGTCAATTGATATTTAACTTAGCGCTTAAAAGGTTAAGGAATGTGGTAAACAGTCAGATCAATCTCATGATAGCAAGCAATGCCACCTACATCACCGGAGAAGTTATAGAAGTATTGCAGAACTTTTAGAAAGACATATTGTTTTAATCACATACTTAAACCAATACAGAATATCGGCCAAACACCGAACAATACATCCTACTATCATACTAATATTATACATTATTATAAAGGCAAAAAGTTTGTATGTTTGTAACACCTTCACATCAAAAAGGCTAAAGGGATTAAGATGAAATTTGGAACAGGTCTGTCTGTCTGTTTGGTCTGGAATAATACATAGGCTGGTTTTTTTACCATGATAACGCAGGTGAAGCTGCTGGCAGAAGCTAGATAGACAAAAAACATGTTCTTTAATATAATAGTATAAAGTAGAACTCACTTGTCCTCTCCCCAATGGGTAGTGAAGAGTAAAGTTGTGAGTGTAGACCTCCAAATGTATATGCGACATCATTCCCACCAGCCAGGACACTGGCATTACATCCATCTCTTCATACTTTGTCTGAAATATTATTATTTACTATATAGTGGATACTACATACACATGAAAGAGGTATGTGTAGGAATCGTAGCAATTGGGGTTCCATAGTCTCTGTCTACCTATGTGTATGTATGTATGTACATACACATCGGATAAAAACTAGACACTCTCCGCATTGTGTGCCGCAGAATGCTAAATAATAAATATTTAGGACTCGACGAGTTGCAAACCATAGTTCGAAACTCGTCGAGTCCCTTGTTGGACAGTTACGTGAGTAACCCAAAAACATCAACTCCTAAAGTTATAATACCACCATATATAACCTTTTAAGCTGTGATCTCCAACCTGCCTATGCCAAGATTACTACAAACCTTCTCATGAACAGAAAGGCTATAGTCCAGTAGTAGTAGTGTAGTAGTGGTGACTCACGCTTCTCGACAAATTAGAAAAGGTAAATTTATTTCTTACCTCTAATTCGAGCAGCAATTCGTTGTAATATTGACTGGCAGACTTCTCTGCATTAAATTCGTTGGTGACCAAGCCAGGAAGTAAAGCATTCTCGGAGAAATAAGTCTCATTGTTGAATTCTCTATGGCCTAGCAGGACGAACCATACCAGGGCACCAACATAGCATAGGAAGCAGACAGGACTGTGCACTCTCTTCAGCACCCTCACCCACTTCGCAGAACCAACATCAGGGTCTGATAATAGACCCATTTTGCTATAAACCACTAAATAAATTCACGGTTTTAGGTGTTACCTATGGAGTACAATTCTTATACGCTTTTAGTCATTACAATTAGAATAGAACAAGATTTTTATCAAATGAAACACCGCTTGTCTAATATCTTTTATTTATCAGCAGGTGTCAACTGTCAAATACTTTGAGGGACAGTGACATTTGTAATTGAACCATAGTGTCCTCAAAACTTGTCTATGGATATCTCAAGTTTTTCGATTAAATCAAATATTTTTATTAATATTGGAATAATAACTATCGTGAGACAAATTAACTAAAAATCGTGGGTTAATCACGTGATTGCACTGATATTGAAACAAGTAGAGCTTTTCTCAGTATATTCACGTGAGTAACCCGCGATTTTTAGTTAAATTGGAATACTTATTAACTTATTTAAGACTGTGTCACATACTAAATTCTGTGATAATACTGAATCTTAGATAATAAAACTGCTAGAATAAAACTTTAACCGACGCAGGAATCGAACCTGAGACATAATTTCTAGATAGTTGCACTTATTTTAATAACTTTTTTGCCGCCTATACAAATAACCGCGCTCAAAAGTACTTTGTACTGTTTCGAAGGGCACTCTTCTTGTTTCTCTCATTATCAAATATGATACAAATACGGTCAGGAAATTAACAAATGCGAATGCTAGGAAAACTCCAGATAATCCTAGGATGTCCACTGCAGGTTTGAATATAAACAGAAGTATAAAGTTCGCAATAAACAATGAGCACATCACGGCGCCTGTCCCGAAACTGTTCATCTGCAAAAAAAGAATTCAGATAAAGAAAACACGCGAATCTCGTGTTATGAGGAGTGAGTGATGTTTTCAAAAACTGGGCACAAATTCAGGCTTCCAAATGTTACTGACAATGTTTTTACTGAACCGGAAAATTAACCCAAAATTCGTTTCTTGACAATCGCACTTGCGGTCATCCGACCAAAAATAAGGACATAATTATAATAAAATTACGACGGACAACTAATAAAACTCGCAGCGAACTGGATGCAATAGCCAGTCGATCTTGAAGGTATTTTTTTTAAGGAGGAAAAATTATCGGAAGACTGCTCCTGCCTGGGTGAGGCGGAAGGGAGTGTCAAACTCTTATTGACTAAAAACCACCCCGTTCCTTCTCCTGCGCTTCGAGCCGTAGCCTCGGTAACCCGTTAGGTTCTCCGCGACATCTTGAAGGTCTAGGGGGACGTTTTGTTCAATAGTAGACGTCTAGTGTAGTCGATATACTATAATGATAAAAAATCATCAAAGACATTATTATACTCACTTGCGGTGGCAAGCATTCAGCAATTTGTATGAACGGAATGTTTACGGCGCCGAGCTGGTAAAATATGCAGTAGAGTATCATAACTAATGGTATACCCCACTCCGGGGCCCACGTGAAGTACTGCATGCTGGACAGGCACGCCATACAGCAGCCCGATAGGAAACATGTACTTATCATTAGAACCTGGGGAAAACAGATTTAGGAAAATAAAAGGACTTGTACAATAAAGAAAGAAAATTGTTATCAATTAGTAAGTAGCGTAGACACATTGTCATACTGGACGACAATACAAATTTTGCTTTTAGAAACTTATGAAAAATTTGAAAGCCCATTAAGGTACTTTCAGGTCAGGTCAGGTCCAATACCTAGGTACTTTATCAGATCCGAGAATCGAACTCGAGACTCCCTTAGCAGCAGAGCGATCAAGACCCCTTTTTGTAGCCTCGTTTTCGCTCGCATAGTTACTATCTATTCGTCAAAACCGAACAAAAATCCGTCTGGCTGTTTTTAAGTTTATCCCGTTCATGCAGATAGACGCGTCTAATAATTTAATAATCTTGACGTTAATCTTACCCGTCTAGGTACAATATCAACTATAAATACGGCGACTCCACTCGTAATTGTGACAATTATGGCCAATATCACAGAGCAGAGATGTGGCGAAAAGCTTGGCGCTGCTTGCTGGAAGAATTGGCCAGCAAACGCCTGCACAGCGATCATACCCATGAACACGCACAAATTCATTTGAACTAATAATACTACCAAGGCGCGTTTTGCTGAGTTCGATGTTCCTGAAATTATTGATGAAATCCGATTTAAATAAGTACCTATAACTGCAATTACCTACAAGTAATAGGACAACCGAGGACAATAAATATGGACAACCAATATAATGGTTCATCCATTTTTCTTCTATAAAAATGATGACTAGGCAGTGGCGAATGCTTAACGGGACATTTAAATTATTTTAGATGCATTTATCTCAAACAATAATAGCTATAAAGTGAGCCCGATATACATAATATTTTGTTAAAAATTCGCTTATCAAATCGAAACGCTAAACTAATTAGGTATGTGATAGCGCGATGACAAACAGTAGTAACTAAAGGAATACATGATATTTTCATACAAATAACCTAAATGATAATTTACATGGCAGTCGTACTAAAAATTTTAGACAGGTAACATGTTGCTAAAATTCTTTGGGCACCGGCTCCGCACGGATGATCAAACTGAATCTTTTGTAACAAATGCTCCTTTTGTACTAGGCTGTCATAAGCCACAAGAGCTGTAAGAGTTTAGTACGTGTATACCTACCTACCATTGTAAATGGAGGGAGGCGAGGCAAAAGGCGGGTACGGTGTTGTGCAACAACTATTCGCCCAACAATGTGTCGTAAGTGGAAAGCAAAAAGTTTCAATGTACTAGGACTGAATAAAACACAAGAGGTGATTAGTTGCTTGAGTATATTTTGCAAACTAATCGCGGATTCGGACTAAAGAGTGAACGAGTAAGGACGTCTGACAAAACTGAATCCAACATTGTATCAATGACGAATCTATCGACTGTAATTACCAGGAGAACATAAAGTTAAAGATGCGAGGAAAGTAAAGGCAGAGTAAGATAATTATTATAATCACTGCTTTTGGGCGCTCGCACTTATGTAGTACATAGGTATATTAGCCATTCTCAGACTTCCAGTCAGGGAATCATCATAATAATATCCTTATCATGCTGTTGACTTAACACTTGCCGACAGAAGTCACAGAATGGCAGAATTAAGATAAATAGTTTCTTTGTAAGATAAGTGAAAAGTTTACACATTTACATAAGTAAATACTTATTATCACAGTCATAAAACCACTTACGCAATGTTGTCCAAGCACTATTTGATTTAGTAATGCCTTCAATCTTAGGATTATTTTCTTCATTTAACATTTCTTTTTCATTTTCTAATTGAGGGATTTTCATCTCTGGAATTTAGAAAATAATTAATGAAAATTGATAGGTAATCGATTAGTAATGTAATGTGAATTTCAAAATAAATCATTGACATGGTTCAGATACCGGCTATACCGGCCACAGTTACCAGGAGTTCAGACGGTGATGCTATACGAGTCACAAGAAAACATTCACAGATTTACTACGTTTTGTAATGACCACGCCCTCCATAAGTAGTGACCAACACAAATATACACATCTCTTTCTACAGTACTTCTAAACAACTAATGAAAGAAAGAATAATAAATATGTAACCACGTAAAATTTATAAATCACGATCGAGGGTCCGATTATGTTATATCTAGAAAGAGCTTACCAATTTGATTGGCATTTTCATTAATTAGTTGACTTTTCAGATAAACAATTTCGTCTAGAACTTCTTGAGTAACCTTTGATGCACCTCGATAAAATTTCAGAGATTTTATTGCTTCCTACAAAAAATACACTTAATGAATACCTGTTATAGGTACAATTATAAACGATTAGGCAAATTGACACTCTTTAGCTTAAAATTTGGTGTTCGACAATATACGTACTTATTTTTTTCAGTTATAATTTTAAACATTTTCGAATAACTTACCTTTTCTTTTCCTATTCTTAACAAATAAACGGGTGTTTCTTTAAGACACATTAGTAGTAGTATAAATGAAACAGCTGTAGTTAAATTCAAGTAGTTGACGACTTCGTAACTACAGAACCAGCCTTCTGTGTAAGAAGCGAGTGTACCTAAATTGTACATGAACGACATTATGGTAAGAAGAGCTCCTCTGATGGATGTTTGACTCATTTCACCAATGTAAACGACACCAGTGACAAAATGTAACCCCGTTCCAAGTCCTATAATGTATCGACCAATTACAATTTGCGTTACATTCTTTGCAGTTGTAATTGTTGACCAGGCGAGCTGAAATTGTAAGAGATTTCTGTAATAAACATTCTTTGCATAACGAAGTTTTGTTATGATGCCTGTAGGTTTTATTCGTTGGGTTGTTGTTGGATTTTTAGAGTGTTCTCAAATAAACAAAAATTCCCATCCACATGTTGACGTCGACTTATTACGCTGTATTATAGATACTAGGAACTTTCCTTCTATTTTCTAATACATGTACACATATACACGATTGGTTTTAAACTCACCACAAAACATAGTCCACTTAATATTTCTGTCCGTTTTCGACCAATCCGGTCGCTTATATACCCAACAATGACTATAGAGGTTAGGGAACCCAGCATGATAACTGAGGATATCAGATTGCTATCACTCTTCGTGATTGGATATCCTATTGGAGAGTCTTCGCTTTCTAGAATGGGTAGTGTATAAGATGTCCATGTGTTTCCAATAGCTAACATGAAGGTTGGTACTGAAACTGGAGAAAAAAAATTGTATACAATCTATGGGCCCCTCTTTCTAATATAAAAAAGTAATTTTTATAAATTAAAGTTCAAATGAAAATCTCTGAAATGGGTCACTTTCCAGCTCGGGCCCTGTGGCACTGTGCTGACTTTCCACCCTGTAGTTACGCCACTGATACTTCCTATAATGACGAAAAACCTAAAAACCTCGGTGCGCTTTGTGTTATTCTCTTACGTAAAAGAAGCCCATAACCCTTACGTAAAAGTGGGCTTCTGCAGGCTGTACTATAACATCAGGTTCTTGATATGCATTGTTTTTACCCTGAACTACCCTTTTTATAGAGTACATGTATGCTATTATACTTTTACCCGGTAATTGTTTTCATACAATAACATAGGTAACGGGTAGTAGGTAACCCAAATAAATAAAGCATAAGGATAAATTAGAATTAAAACCCAGTGACCCAGTACTCCTTCGAAATAACATCGTTTATACGCCGTGCGTGGTTCTGTCTGGGTAATACAATAGTTTTACAAAGAAATAAAATGTTTAAAACAAAAAATAACTGGTAAACCACCAAAATGCCAACTTCTAAAGCGCATACAAACTCATAGTATTAAAACATCACGCCATGTAATTCTTGAAGAGGTATCTCTTGACGGGTGACACGTGCAATGCAAATGGTGCCTACAAATTTACATCTAGTTCAAAACATATTTAAACTGAAAAAAATTACTTTGTTTAATATTTCTTGTTTTTACTTTATACATCGAAAGTACGCCTTATGGCAAGTTGATTTGCCGCAGGATGAAAAGGAATAGATTTCACGATGTAGGAATGGTGTTATTTCGAAAGAGTAGTGGTTTTTAATTTATTCTTATGCTGAGTTATGCTTTACTTATTTGGGCTACTTGCTACCAATTATGTAGTTCTACGAATACATTACACGATCTGAAAGAGCAATGTACTCTATAGACAAACAAGATATTTAAAAACAATGCACATCAAGATCCTGCTGTCATAGCATGTACATACATACAAACATTATGGGAAAATTCCAGTAAAATTCTACAAAATGATCCAAGTGGCTACGTGAAATGAACGGTGTATTTACATTCTTATCAGTTACACGTCTTTATATGTACTTATTTATGTGTATTACATATAAATTGTGTATAAGCGGTAAGTCAAGGTATATACAGTTCGGTGACCTCACTGCTTAGACGCGACGTCAAGACGAGTGATTCGCTATTTACTTCCACATAAATACTAAAAATCTAAGCAGTTCTGTAATTAAGTTGTACGAAATATTGAACCAAAATACCTGTACAACAAATTTAAATCTTATTTGATAACATAACAACATCAAATCCATAATTTGTAGACCCACGCATCACTGGCATCATTGAAATTGAAATCCTAATATTCAGGAGCTATGCGATGTTCATGAATTAACAGAGCTGCTAAAAATGTACTACCACCTTGCGGAAAATTTTACATAGGAAATATTAAATTAAACTCACGTAAAAGCGCTACAGCTATCTGTACCACAATCGGATTCATCTTATTGTGTTTCTTATTTATATTCAAACTTGATTAACTTTCACTTCGGAAATCCAACACATATAATTCTCCGAATAAATTATATTTCCCTGTACGAATATTAAAAACAGGTGATGTGTCGACACTGACTTCCACTAGAACATAATTCACTAAAATAAATATCTAAGCAAATGCTTCTAACTGTAGGTACACCACATAATGCTACTTACAATACTTGCTCATTTTATTTATATTAAATTTATCAAAGAATAGATAAAACTAAATCTTTATTCAAATAAGTACTCGATGGTATACTACGTGTGTTCACAAGTACTTCAAGTTTAATAAACGAAGCTTAAGAACATCGCTACATTTAACTGGCTATTGATCTTGATTTCAGTAAAGAGCTGCAATTGCGTTAAATTAGAAAAAAACATGGATTGTTTTTATTTGAGGGTGAAAATCATCCAATTTCTTCTGCCGACTTGCCTTACCGAGAGAGGGAATGTTAGACTCTTACTGACTAAAAACCACCAAGGCCCTTATCCTGCTCTTCGAGTCGGAGCCCCGGTAACCCGTTAGGCCTTCCGCGGCTCCGTGTCGGGCATTAGCCTTCAGGGGGGCAGACAAATAGGGATTTGTGGTGGTCTGATGACTCTTTGGAATGCGTGGAATACCGCGCGCCGTATGCTCGGTTTCTGGCTCTGTATAATCAACTCTGCTAATAACTTACTATTATTCTTATTTCTATTTACGTACATGTAGATATTTATTTATGTATTTATGTATTCATATATGAGAGCCATATGAATACGAGCTCGTATTCATATGGCTCTCATATATAAATTATTTATTTTTAGTCTAAATATCAGTGCACTGCGGACTTCATGTTCTCCTTTACTGCTTATCCATCCCAAGGTTGTATTTTTAGTAATAAGACCATCATTTGTACTATCGATTTTTTAATGTTTGTGTGTTTCATGGTGGGCAATATATATGTAGTTATTGTATTGTATTGTACCTAAAGGAGATACTAAGTGTTATTTATTATCTGTCTATCTACTTAATAGCAATAGGTTAATAAAGGTTGTTACTATGGGATACATATCATGATTATAAACCAGAGGCATCAGTCTTATAAATGAAGGAATATAATTTAATACGTTAAAGGAACAATACCTACTTATTTATAGCAGTTATGTCTTGAGGCATTTATTTACATAAATTGCAAATAGCTTCGCTATCAAGGGCCTTGCCAAGAATAGACATATTTAAAACAACCTGTTTTCTCATTATTTAAATAGGAAGGTACTTGAGTACCTCTATCTGGAATCTAGACAATGGAAAGATTTAATTTCATACTACACCATTACCATTGACTTTAAGTAGCCAGGTAAGTACCTATCCTCTATTGTGTAATTAATATTAGAATCTCTTTTGATAAGAAAAAAATTTGTTGATCTAGTCAAATTTGTATATTTCACAACGCCATTTTTATCTTGTGTGTGATTATGTTGTTGAATTTCATTGACATAATTTATTCAATGCCTACTTGTGCTTACATAAAAGTTTTAAAACTGATGAATAGTAATACATCTTCTTAAAATATTTATTTAAAAAATAGTGATAACATAATAAGACCCCATCAACAACGGGCGTGTTGTGATGATTCTCTCGTATAATGAGGCACGCAATGAATTCGCAGCGATGTCCTAACGGTTTATGTTTTCTTGGTACCGCGAAGCGCCTTTCAGTGGAATAGTGACACAACTCAGAACTGCCCAATAGCTGTAGGACTGAATTTTCTTTGCACTATAAATACCTCACGACTTTATAGATTCCTTCAGAGACGATGCGAACATATTTTTAATTTTTTTTCTATTCTAATAATAAATAATATTACACAGGTGTTAATATTTTATATAAATATCTACGTAAAACATAATAAATATGCACTTATTAAAAAAATATTATTAGTACCTAAATTGTGCTTTAATGTCGCCTCAGTCGCGGAGCGGACTCAGTCGTAATTGTCATCATAACAAAACTGTTACGTCAATTTTGCCTATTTTCACCAAGACATCATAAGAACTAAAGAGGTGTTTTATTAACGAAGACTTGAATTACGCATTCATTAATATTTTTTTTTAAACACGCGACGAACATTGATGGACTCATGAAGAAATAATGAAAATAACGCTACGACTACGACCACAGATATAACAAACATTCTGGCTACGATCGACGTGAAAAATTGTATTAGATGGGACCTATCTCATAGTAAGAGGACTTTAAATTCTCCCCCGGTTGTATTCGCAACATCATGTTCCACGTCTAAATACCAGGGTAATATGACCACAAGGCGTTCGGTACGTCGTCATATAAGTACTAACATTAATAAATAATGTTATGTATGATGTTAGTATGACAATGGCCACGCCCACTTCTTAATCAGCATTCATCGTAAATACCTACCAATCGTATGTCACGTATGTATTATGTATAATTATAATATTCCGACTATTATGTATGTATTTATAATATGAACACAAAAGATAGAACGAATATTCACATGCCTAATTATATTATATTTAACTGCTATTTAGCATAATTATATTTAACTTGTCCTTCCAGGTTAATTGATCAATCTTACAATGTCATTTGACTATTATTAGTAATTCAGGCTAAGGTCAACGACATTTTAAATTTTATGACTCTTTTTGTGTTATGGCGCTCTAGTAACTCGATGTTTTGTTTTATTTATTTAAATTGTTTGAACAAATTTATTTATTTATTTCCACCCATTTCACAATAAGCACCTACCTAAAATTAATCTTCTATACTTATAATAAATCTGTAGAGAAGTCAATTCTGTACATAAAATATATTTAAAAAATAACTATCAGGGGTGGTTAGGGATCGCTTCTGATGCCAAAAATGCAATCAGTAAAATTTTTGTCTGTCTGTCTGTCTGTCTGTATGTTCGTTATGGAAACAAAAACTACTCTACGGATTTTAACGAAATTTGGCACAAATATTTTTCATACTCTTGGGCAGGTTATAGTATACTTTTCATTACGCTACGATCAATAGGAGCAGAGTAGTGAAGGGAAATGTTGGGAAAACGGGAGAAGTTACTCCATTTTTTAAGCTTCCGTCGCGTGTGCAGGCTTAATAGTTAAAGCTACATAGAAATCATGTATGACGGAAATGTTCCACGTAAAATTATGTAAATAATATCCCACAACAGCACATGTCTATCTTTTATAGTTGACTTACAATAACACGTGTAACTCCCGATAGCTTAGCAGTTCGGAGCTTTCTGCTTATATTTGTTTACTCTTACGTTTACAATACTCATCCATAGACTTTACGCTGTAAATGTAGGGCCGATGGTTGAAATTAGCTTGACTCGATATTATAAATGTGAAAATATGTGAGCTTATGTGTTTGTGTATGTTTGTTACTCAGTCATATTAAAACGACTGAAGGGACCGGAATGAAATTCGGAACAGAGGTAGAGTATGGTGTGAAGTAATACATTGGCATTTTCCCCCTGGGATCGCGGGCGAAGCCGCTGGCAGAAGCTAGT